ATCTGCTACCATCTGCTACCACTGAGAACAGTCTAGATCCATCCTCTTTGGAACCCCTTTTCAGGTAGTTGAAAGCAGCTATCAAATCCCCCCTCTTTCTTCTCTTCTCTTCCTTTTATTCTCTTCCATAGACTAAACATCCCCAGTTCCCTCAGCCTCTCCTCATAACTCATGTTCATTGTACTTCAGTGCAGTTCATTGGTCTGTCATTTCCAGGACCATCCCAATGCCTTTTTATATGAAAGTGAAATTTGCTACTCTCCAGTCCTCCCACAGAGAGAATTATGTTCATGAGACTGAATTTTTTGTTAGCAGCTCAGCCACATAAGTTCCTTCAGAACTCTGATTTTCACTATTTGATCCACTGACTTCTTGTTCTTTATCAGTTTATTCCAGGACCTCCTCTTCTGAAACCTCAGTCCCAAAGAATACCTCAAGCTTTATTATATGAAAACTATGGTCTTTGTGATTAAGAAAGATGCAAAGAATCAGTTGAGCTTTTCCATAATTGCTCCCTTCTCCCCCTGCTAGCCCAGGAAACCCACCAATTCTCTTGGAGGCTACCTGCTTCTAACAATTATATATTTTCATCTTTGTATTAGCTAATTGCTGTTCAGATTCAGTTTTAGCTCCTATTCTCTAATTTTCTTGCCCCTAGTTCACATGCCATTGTACTGGTCCATCTCTTTCACCAGTGGGCACCGGGGAAGGTGCATGGTTAAGGGGTTGAGGTGATCCCGCTGTGTCTATCTTGAGGAGATTTTTCTGGAAAGGAGGATATGGAGACAGACATGCTGACAGGGAACCTGGATTGAGGACAGACTTTGTTTCTGCATTCATATAACCATGACTTACTGATTGCTGCCTAAAAGCTGCCTCACTTCGGGGAAGTGGACATAAAGATACTGGACACTGCCTAAGTGTGCGTTATGGTTTGTTGATTTAGGTCACTGGTTAATTGTTTCATGGTTTATACTCAATTGTTTATCCTCTCCAACCATTTCTAATTAATGCATCACCTTGTTTAATAAACTGAAGTTCACCAGGTTCTGGAAAGCCCTTAGATATTGTCTTCATGGAGATTTTCAGGTGGAGGATCAAAACTGAACTCTGGGACCAATCACAAAGCCACAATTTTAACCTCTGTAATATACCCACTTTGAACGTAAGGATTATTTACATTCATAGATTCCAAGGCCAGAAGGGACTGTTGTGATTATCTAGTCTGACTTCCCGTATAGCACAGGCCATAGAACTTCCCCATAATTTCTAGAGCATCTCTCTTAGAAAAACATCCAATCCTGATTTAAAAATTTCTAGTGATGAAGACTCCACCATGACCCCATGGTAACTTGTTCCAACTGCTAAAAATTATACCTTATTTCCAATTTGAATTTGTCTAGTTTTAATTTCCAGCCATTGGATCGTGTCATACCTTTCTCTGCTACATTGAAGAGCCCATTATTAAGTATTTGTTCACCAAGTAGTCATAGACTGCTGCAGTCAAATCACCCCTTAAATCTCTGTTAAGATAAACAGATTAAGAGTCCTCGAGTCTCTCATTATATGGCATGTTTTCTAATTCGTTATTCATTCCTGTGGTTCTTCTCTGAACCCTTTCCAATGTACCAATATCATTCTTGAACTCTGGATACCAGAACTGGACAGAGTATACCAACAAAAGTCATGCCAGTGCCAAGTACAGCTTTATATTAGATTCCCTTTAAGAAGAGAGCAGTGATCTCAAATCTACTAATTCCTTGTCTTGAGAATTATTTAAACATACAAAATCAAAATATAAAGGTCAAAAAGTGACTATAGTCTTTCACCACTGCAAATTTTAAACCATAGGCTGACTATACTACACATGAGGATAAATTATGCCAAAATTACATGCATTCATTTCTTAACTGAATATTTGTCGATCTAATCCCTCAACCCGCTCTCTGTCTGGTTTTAGATTGTGAGTGCCTGGGGGCAGGCATTATGCCTTCTTCTCTATATGGAAAGCACGTATCACATGATGGGGTGCTACCACAAATAAAGAATAACTGTCCACAGCCAAATCTTTCAGTTTTATTCCAATGTTAACCATTTAACTAGTTTACATTTAACTCAGGTGTGAATATACAGGCTGCGTCTTCAAAGGAAAACGTGTTTTAATCTGGAAAGAGATTTAGTATTCAAGTGAAGTTCAAAAATCATACTATCAGAGTTGGAAAAGACCTACTAGGACCAGTTCCCTGACAGAAACAATTTCCTGCTAGCGTTTACCGGCCGCGGGAGTGTCCTGCCTGGCTCTTGATCTCCCGGGGAGGCTAGTCTCTGGCCCCTCCCCTGCTCTTCTGTGCAGCCTCAGCTTGCCGTGCCACCAGCACTCTGGGAGGCGGGCTGCGAGCTCCTGCAGGGCAGTGCCACGGCGTGGCTGGCTCAGGCCGGGACGCATGGCTGCCAGTCCTGCTGCTCTGAGCGGCATAAGGGGGCAGGGAGCGGGGGCATTGGATAAGGGGTAGGAGGTCCCAGGGGGAAGTCAAGGGACAGGGAGCAGGGGTGGTTGGATGGGGCGGAGATTCTGGGGTGGGGGCGGTCAGGGGATGGGAAATGGGGAGTTGGATAGGTGTGGGAGTCCCAGGGGGCCTGTCAGGGCACAGGGGTGTGGATAGGGGTGGGGCAGTTGGATAGGGCGTGGGACTCCGGGGGGGGGTGGGGACGGTTAGGGGCAGCGGGTCCCAGGAGTGGGGGTTGGATGGGTCAGTGGTTCTGAGGGGGGCAGTTGGGGGCAGGAAGTGGGAGGGGGCAGATAAAGGCGGGGGCCAGGCTGTTTGGGGAGGCACAGAATTCCCTACCCCTCCCTCTGTACAGCTTTGGAGCCCCGACATGGCCCTCAGGCCAAAAAGTTTGCCCACCAACAGCGCCCAGAAGCACAGCTAATGAGAACCTTCCATTATCAGTCACTATAATGACCTAAACTCAGCACTGTCTACAAAAATCAAGTGCTCGCATCTGCGTGGCAGGATAGGGGAATTACTCATTGTGTACAGCAAAAAAACAAAACGGCACTGATGATTAAAGCAAAATAAAGTGGCCATTTATTCTCCTACAGGGAAACTTCAGCACTGTCAGGGGTCAGGGAAAGGGTCTCATCACTAGGTGGAGAATAAACCGTTGGTTTGTACAGTGGTAAGTTTCCTAAAAGCCTGAAAGCATAATCGCATCGTCAGGAAACCAGCCAGTCAAAGAGAGGGAGTGGCTCGGCCCAGTGATCAGCCCCCCGGCACTGCAATAACACCACCCTCCCCCCCGGGCCGACAGCCTGAGCGGGCCCGGAGGGAAGCCTCGGCTTTGGGTCGGGGCAGCTCGCCCAGCCCCCGGCACCGGAGGGGTTTCTCGGCACGTCCGCAGTGAACCCGTGAACCTGTGCAGCGCCGAGCTCGGCCCGGCCGCTCGCGGGTTAGGCCCAGCGCTACTGCCGGGCAGGCTGGGGAGCCCGCGGGACTCAGGGACGGCATTGGGGGGTGCGGGGCGCAGCCTGTGCCCCGGCTCCTGTCCCTGCCCTGGGCCCACCTCACCCGGCCCCTCCCAGGAGCCTCCGCCCGCTCCTTACCCCTCGCCGCTGGCCCGGCTCCGTCCCGTTTACCGCTCCCCGGCGCGCGGCTCGTGACGCAGAGCGGAGCCCGGGCGCCGGCCGCGCTCGCAAGCCCGCGGAGCGGCAGGAAGGACCGGCGGCGGGAGGCAGCGTGCGGAGGAAGAGGCGGAGCCGGGGAGGAGGCGGCTGAGCGGACTGAGGCGGGGGAGCGGGGAATCTGCCGCGTGGGGCCGGGGCCGGGCCGGGGTAAGCGGGGTTGGGAGCGTGTGGGGCCGCGGAGCCGGGCCCAGGGCACCGAGGGGCTGAGGATGTGGGATGAAGCCTCCCCGGGACACAGGGGGCAGGTGCTGAGCGTGTGGGGTGCACCCCCAGGGCACAGGGACTGCGGTTTGGGGCAGGTGCTGAGGGGGGGGGGGGGGGGGTGAAGCCGACACGGGGAGGGGCAGGTGCTGAGGGTGGGGGGGGGGTGAAGCCGACACGGGGAGGGGCAGGTGCTGAGGGTGGGGGGGGGGTGAAGCCGACACGGGGAGGGGCAGGTGCTGAGGGTGGGGGGGGTGAAGCCTCCCCGGGACACGGGGGAGGGGCAGGTGCTGAGGGTGGGGGGGGGGGTGAAGCCTCCCCGGGACACGGGGAGGGGCAGGTGCTGAGGGTGGGGGGGGTGAAGCCTCCCCGGGACACGGGGAGGGGCAGGTGCTGAGGGTGGGGGGGGTGAAGCCTCCCCGGGACACGGGGAGGGGCAGGTGCTGAGGGTGGGGGGGGGGTGAAGCCTCCCCGGGACACGGGGAGGGGCAGGTGCTGAGGGTGGGGGGGGGGTGAAGCCTCCCCGGGACACGGGGAGAGGCAGGTGCTGAGGGTGGTGGGGGGGTGAAGCCTCCCCGGGACACGGGGAGGGGCAGGTGCTGAGCGTGGGGGGGGGGTGTGAAACCTCCCCGGGACACGGGGAGGGGCAGGTGCTGAGCGTGGGGGGGGGTGAAACCTCCCCGGGACACGGGGAGGGGCAGGTGCTGAGCGTGGGGGGGGGGTGAAACCTCCCCGGGACACGGGGAGGGGCAGGTGCTGAGCGTGGGGGGGGGGGTGAAACCTCCCCGGGACACGGGGAGGGGCAGGTGCTGAGCGTGGGGGGGGGGGTGAAACCTCCCCGGGACACAGGGATCGCAGTGTGGGGCAGATGCTGAGTATGTGGGGTGAACCCCTGAGGCACAGGGATCTTTGTGAGGGACAGGTATTGAGGACATGGGGTGAGTCCTCTGTTACCTGGGGTCACTGTGGTCACTCATCACAGGGCTCTGGGGCATTCACCCTCAATTTCTAAATTACTTTTCCATGGGTTTTGCTGGTGTGGGCTTGGGGAACTGTCCCCCACTCCCTGGGAGAATGACCTGCACCCTCTATATTTGGTAACTAATTCCACAGCTCCCACTGCCATGGATGCATGGCAGAGACCATAGTCCAGGCTATGAATGTGGCAGCCCTCAGGAAGGTCTGTCAACAGGGTTTGAATCCTGGATGTTAAGCCCTGCAGCACAGATTTCTACTATATGAGCTAATGGAGACTCTCCACTACTAGGTAACAGTAGTCAGTTGTTATCTTCTGTTAAAGGGGACAAGGTAGAAGGCAGCAACACAGTCCTTGCCAGTACGATACATGAATAGCTAAAAGATCCAGATATGGTTATAACTGGCATTCACTGCAGAGCTATTAGCAATGAATACATAGGGAAATCACCAAATGAACCAAATAAAAGGGTGACAGATCAATGGTTTGCAACAAATAGGTTGATCTGTTCTGAAAAAGGAAGCTTTTTGGGAACATAGGTTTGCAATACTGGATCAGACCAGTGTTCTATCTAATCCAGTATCCTATCTCTTAGAATGGCCAAGGGCAGAAGCATCAGAGAAAAGGGCAATAAAATCCACAGTGAATAATTATGGAATAACCTGCCTGTGGGAGATGTTCTCCAAATCTCCACAAGTTACTCGTTAATTTATACTCTCAGTTCAGCTTCTTTATACCTTTAATTATTCTGTATACCTCTATCTTGTCTCCTCTCTCAAATAAACAGTCCTGGTATTTTTAACAAAGAGTCCGGTGGCACCTGAAAGACGAACAGATTTATTTGGGCATAAGCTTTTGTGGGTAAAAAGCCTCACTTTTTCAGATGCATGGAGTGAAAATTACAAATACAGGCATAAATATACTGGCACAGGAAGAGAAGGGAGTTACCTTACAAGTGGAGAACCAGTGTTGACAAGGCCAATTCAATCAGGGTGGATGTGGTCCACTCCCAATAATTGATGAGGGGTTGTCAGTACCAAGAGAGGGAAAATTGCTTTTGTAGTGAGCCTTCTCTTCATGTGCCAGTATATTTATGCCTGTATCTGTAATTTTCACTCCATGCATCTGAATAAGTGGGCTATTTTAACTACGAAAGCTTATGCCCAAATAAATCTGTTAGTCTTTAAGGTGCCACCAGACTCCTTGTTGTTTTTGTGGCTACACCTACATGGATACCCCTCTGATACCCAGTGTTTTTAATCTCTCTTCATATAAAAATATTTTCTATTTATCTGGTCATTCTTGTGAGCTTTTTCTGAACTAGGGTTCATTGAAAATTATGCATGGAAACCGTTTTTGAACAAAAGTTGGGTTTTCAATTAAATGAAAATTTTTACAGAAAGCGTGTGCTTTCTTTGAATTTTTTAATAATATTTCATCAGAAAACTAAAAATGTTTAACTTTTTCCCAGAAAGTTAATTATTTAAATGTAACACTTTCACTTTTTTAATAGCTGTATTGTATACTCTATTTTTGTAACATTCTTTTTGAAATAAGGTGACCAGAACTAAACACAGTATTCCAAGTGAGGACATACCACCAATTTGTGTAGTGTAAATATTTAATGTATTTTTTCTATTCATTCTTTCTATGCTTAAAATCCTATTCCCTCAACTACTTAAGGGGCTGTTCATGTGAGTAAATTACTCCCATGCTCAAATTTTCTAGGGTTGGGGGCCTCACAGTATGTCAACTTTTTTGTTTGATTATGGATTGTTGTTGGTTTTTTTGTGGTATTTTTTGACTGCCATTGCACATTAAGTGAGGTTTGAATGTAGAGAAGAGGATTTGTGCCTTAATTTCAGCAGTAATTCTTATATGAAGAGAGACTAAAAATAAGTTTGTCTTTAATTTTTCACGTGTCCCTTATATTCCTGAAGTATATCTGGTGACTAGGTAATTTTAGTTATATCAATGTGCCCATCCTAAATTCTGTTGTTGTTGTTTTTATAGCATTTTTCATCTGAGATACTCAAAGAACTTCACAAATGATATAAAACCCTCTGAATATTCCTATTTATTGATGGGGAAACTGAGGCACAGAGGTTAGGTGACTTCTCCCTGGTCACACAGCAAATTGACGTAAATGGGAATATAAATTATATCTCCCGAGTCTGATATCTTAAAAACACAGGTACTATTTTTGGTGTTCTACATATTTATTGGAATAACCATTACATTTGTAAATAACTTAATGTGATATGATACATGTTAAATGAAAAAGAAACCTTGTTAAATGTTGTCCGGAGTTTTATTTTTTCCATAACAAAACAAACAAACAAAACATTTTGCAGAAACTAAGAGCAATAGAAATGTTTCCATATTTTGTTTATATTTTCCTGGAAACATGTTTTTAAACAAATAAACAGTCCTCTGTGGTGAAACCCAAATTTGTAGCACAGTGAAACAGACTTAATTGATATTTAGCCCATGTTGGAGAAATTTTAAAAAGTGAACAGCATAATTTGTTAAAGTAAATTGGATTTTTAACGTTCTTTTAGTTCTAACCAACTAAGCTTGTCTTAGTTCCATAGGTAAATAAATTTGTTTGTTTACAATATCTGCTCTTCAAGCTATGCAGTATAGCAGATGTTGTTAATTATTTGTATTGCAGCAGCAGCTAGAGGCCCTAACTGAGACTGGGGCTCTGTTGTGTCTAGTACTAGTATAGAGTAAATGGCAATCCCTGTCCCAAAGATTTTGCACTCTAAGTCTACGCTGCAATAAAAAGCCTACAGCACTGGGTCTCAAAGCCTGGGTCAATTGGCTCAGGCTTGCAGGGCTTGGGCTGTGGGGCTAAAAATTGCATGTAGATGTTTGGGCCTCAGCTGGAGCCCAGGCACTATAGTGAGGGGGATGGATCTCAAAGCCTGTGCTCCAGCCTGAGCTTGAACATTATAGTGCAGCTGTTAGCACCGCAGTCTGAGTCCCACAAACCCAACTCAGCTGATCTGGGCCAGCTGCAGCTGTGCTGCTGGTCTTTTATTGTAGTGTAGATGTATCTAAATAGAAAAGGGAATGGAGAGAAGGGAGAAGGTAATATACAAGCAGAGTGAACAACATGATGGTTTGAAAACATTGTGTTAATTCTGTGATTTTTTTTTAATGTTTTGGGTGTGGTTTTATAAGGAGCATCAGCTAAAGGACAAGACAAAGGAAGGGTGGTGGAAGGATATATAGGAAAGATAAGGAAGAAGGAGAACATGGAGTGCAGGTACATAAGGCTGATGTGAAGAAACTGTGCAGGAGGAGTTTGATCAAGCAGCCAGTCTGCACAGGGGAGAGGAAGTTAAATATATGTCTGATGATATCGCTGGTGCCCAAAGGCATGCTGCAGTTGCTTATAAGTTGTAACAGTACTGAGAAAATGATTTCAGATGGATGATTCAAAGTTTGGCTGATGTGACATTCAGGATGGCTACAAAGTCCTGTCTCAGTCCTGCAGCTGGTTCTGTGAGGAAGGAGTCATTTGCAGGATTGGAGTACATTTTTCCTTACCTGTGTAATTTAACACACACTTTTGATTATTAAAACTGAAATAACTTAAAAATTAGGGCTGTCAAGCGATTAAAAAAATTAATCATGACTAATCGCGCAATTAAAAAGGTTTCAGAGTAGCAGCCGTGTTAGTCTGTATCCAAAGAAGGAACAGGAGTACTTGTGGCTCAAATGAATTTGTTAGTCTCTAACGTGCCACAAGTACTCCTGTTCCTTTTGCGATTAAAAAGTGGTATTGTATTTGAAATATCTTTGGATGTTTTCTACATTTTCAAATATATTGATTTCAATTACAAAATGGAATACGAAGTGTACAGTATCACTTTATCTTTATTTTTGATTACAAGTATTTGCACTGTAAAAAAACAAAATAGTATTTTTCAGTTCATCTAATACAAATACTGTAATGCAACCTCTTTATCATGAAAGTTGAACTTAAAAATGTAGAATTTATGTTTTAAAAAAAAAACACCCCTGCATTCAAAAATGAAACAATGTAAAATTTTAGAGCCTTTGTGAGTTAACCTCAATTAATCGACAGCCCTGTTAAAAATCTAATTTACTTTTCACTGTTAATGATATTCATATTTTGCATTTCTCTTGTCTTGGATTGTGAGACTAGGCACTAATTAGGGCTGTCGATTAATCACAGTAAACTCACGGAATTAACTAAAAAAATTAATCCCGATTAAAAAAAATTAATTGTGATTAATCTCAGTTTTAATCACACTGTGAAACACTAGAATACCAATTTAAATATATTAAATATTTTGGACATTATTCTACATGTTCATATATATTCTGTGTTGTAATTGAAATCAAAGTGTATATTTTTGATTACAAAAATTTGCGCTGTAAAAATGATAAACAAGAAATAGTTTTTTCAGTCACCTCATACAAGTACTGTAATGCAGTCTCTTTGTCATGAAAGTGCAACTTACAAATGTAGATTTTGTTTGTTACATAACTGCACTCAAAAACAAAACAATGTAATACTTTAGATCCTATATGTCCACTCAGTCCTACTTCTTGTTCAGCCTGTTACTAAGAGAAACAAGTTTGTTTACCTTTACAGGAGATAATGCTGCCTCTTCTTATTTACAATGCCACAGAAAGTGAGAACAGGCATTTGCATGGCACTTCTGTCGCCGGCACTGCAAGGTATTTACGTGCCAGATATGCTAAAGTTTTGTATGCCCCTTCATGCTTCGGCCACCATTCCAGAGGACATGCTTCCATGCCGATGATGCTCGTTAAAAAAATAACGCATTAATTAAATTTGTGACTGAACTCCTTGGGGGAGAATTGTATGTCCCCTGCTCTGTTTTACTCACATTCTGCCATATATTTCATGTTATGGCAGTCTCCAATGATGACCCAGCACATGTGCATTTTAAGAATACTTCCACTGCAGATTTGACAAAATGCAAAGAAGATACCAATGTGAGATTTCTAAAAATAGCTACGGCACTTGACCAAAGGTTTAAGAATCTGAAGTGCCTTCCAAAATCTGAGAGGGAAGAGGTGTCGAGCATGCTTTCAGAAGTCTTAAAAGAGCAACACTTGGATGCGGAAACTACAGAACCTGAACCACCAAAAAAGAAAATCAACCTTCTGCTCGTGGCATCTGACTCAGATGATGAAAATGAACATGCATCAGTCCGCACTGCTTTGGATTGTTATCGAGCAGAACCCGTCATCAGCATGGACGCATGTCTCCTGGAATGGTGGTTGAAGCATGAAGGGACATCTGAGTCTTTAGCACATCTGGCATGTAAATATCTTGCGACACTGGCTACAACAGTGCCATGAGAACGCCTGTTCTTACTTTCAGGTGACATAAACAAGAAGCAGGCAGCATATCTCCTGCAAATGTAAACAAACTTGTTTGAGCGATTGGCTGAACAAGAAGTAGGTTGAACAACTGAGTGGGTTGCAGGCTCTAAAATTTTACATTGTTTTATTTTTGAATGTAGTTTTTTGTACATAATTCTACATTTGTAAGTTCCACTTTCATGATAGAGATTGCACTATACTATGTAGAAAAAATCCATAAATATTTAAATAAATGGTATTCTATTATTAACAGTGCGATTAATTGTGATTAATTTTTTTAATCGCTTGACAACACTAGCACTAATCAGTTTCACTTTCTTTCTAGTTAGTGTTTCCTTTTGGTTCTCATGCACTACTAAGAACACTCAAAATGCAAACACTACAGAGATTTGTTCAAAATAATTTTTTCCACTGTTTTCTTAAAGACAAGTTCATGGACATATTTTTCATGGTCTTATTTTTTTCAGAAGAGCCCTGAATTTGGGGCAAAACTTGAACTGACAATATCTGTTAAAACCTTTTTTATGTTTAATTATTCATTAATGAATGTGATAGGCTGGAATGGAAAATCCACTAGTCCCATCCCTATGTCACTTATTGACACTTAATAAAAATACTTTGCTTCTTTACTGAAACAAGACCCAAGTACAACTTTATATAATGTGTTGAACAGTAATTAGAGGCATGTGTGAGAGCCCGTCATGTCTGGAACAGTTTAATAATGACTCTGCCATCTCTGTCTTACACACTTTCAAACTTCTTGTGCTAGAGGAAATGTAAAAAGTCCCATGTTAAATAACGACCAAACCAATCTGGAAGAAGAAGGTGATCAGCAAAAAAATCCTTCCTCCTCTTAGTTCTTTTCACATTACTCCATTCTGATTTTCAAAGGGATGACAACTATTTGAAAATGCATATCTATTCCCCATAATTATTTTCTGTCCAATTTTGCTTAAATTTATTATTGCTCAATTCTGCTAAGAGACAGAAAAAAAAATTTAAAGCTGGAAGAAGAAGAGGAAAATGCCAGTTAATGAGCATCTGATTTAGATCACCTTGAGCATGTGGTTTGAATGACATGAGGCAAGGGGTTAGTGCTTCCAGCAGGAGGAGCCAGTGAAACTCACTATGGCCTAGTGTAACCTTGGAAAATTAACTTTTGCTGCAGTGAGTATCAGCAGTATCTCTACATGGTTGAACAGCAATTATAGACCAGGATAAACAACAGAAACAGTCATTTTCTTTTCTGAAATCATGCTGAAGTTAGCTTGTACTGGTCTACATGTGTACTTTTACTGTGTTCAACTGAAGCCCTTGTCAGCAATATGGTAACTTTTCTAGTGTAGGCTTATGTGAACTACTACATTTTTGACCATATTTAATGTGTCCTGTATAGTTTTCATGTACAGTTGTCATTTTTTAAAAGTAAGATGAAGGCAGTATCATTAACTATAGAAACTGCAGTGTTAAAGGGAGAGAGGAAAAGCTACTATTTGAGAGAACAGTTAACTGGGAATAAAAACAGGTGCTTTTGAATATAGCAGGTGGGTTTGCATTGATCACCACCATCTGTCTGAGGCTGAATAAGAAATTTCCTAGATAAATGTTTGAGGTAATGAATGATCTGTTTCATGACGGAAAAGTTTTTGATGGCTAGGAAAGTGAGAGCAAGAGAAACCTGCTGGATTAATCTAAGCCTTCAGACTTCAAAGATGAATGGAAAATATAACTGAGAGACCAAGCTGAGCATATAATTGTGCAGTTGGTATGGTTGAGTGTGGAAGTTAGAGGTCAGAAATT